TACCATGTCTCTCTTTCAGTCTCGGTGATGTTAATTAAATGTGCAAAATTAAAAAGCTGGCAACTTCTACCCAGTCAGTAGCCATATACTTGTCCATAGGGAGAAGTTGGGATCATTTGACTCCTGTTTTCACACCTGTGCCAAATCCCCAAACCACTGTATGTGCATGCATGTGTAAACTGTCATCCCGAGGAAATGTGCAATGAACACTACTGCTTCTACTACCCTAAAAGTGGCCATTCAGCACACTTTGGTCCCTGAATTTGGAGCTTCAGCTGCTTTGTTCTGAACTTTTTTTTTGTTCCATGCAGTGTGTAGATGAAAAGATGTATGTGACTCAGGTGCCCAAGGCAAAGGGGATTGGCAGCTGGCCCACAGCCTCCATTAGAGAGCCTCTTTACCAAAAGCAGGAAGGTAGAGAGAAACAGGGGAGCTTCAGTGGGATAGTAGAGAACATATATTGGCCATAAGGTTCATGTTGGTGTTGCGTGAGAGTGTGGCAATCTCTTTTCTTATGATTGTTGTTGTTCTGTACAGTGACTCTAACAGGGTTTTCAAGGCAAGTTAAGATATTTAAAGAGTGGTTTTACCAGTTCCACTCCCCCAGACAGTTTCCATGGCTGAGTGGGGTTTGAATCCTGCTCTCCAGAGTCCTAGTCTGTCACTCTGTCCACTACACCACACTGGGAATCACTCCATATGATTAGAAAATCATAATCCCCACCCCTAGAATCCTGTCTAGAACACAATAGGGCTAAATAACAGTATTCTGATGCTTAAGAGTACTAATAGAGGTACAAGGAGATCCATTTGTGTAGTAGATTTGTGATTATCATGTTGCAGTGTATTTAATTAACTTGTCATTTTGACTGTAATTTCTGATTCACACTGAATTCAGTAGATGCTGTGTACTTAAGGAAATCAGATTCAGAAATCTTGGATCTTCATTTATTTAATTCAGTCAGCTGGTCAAGTAGGCACGGAGCACACAGCCAACTCCTCTTTTACTGCCATTTTCTTTCTTGCCTTCCTTTGTCAGCCCAATATTATGGTCTCTTGTTTGATGGCAGATGCATTGGTCCAAAATGTGAATTTGTTGCTGCTGCTGAATGGCCTGGCCAGCTTCTTTTCTCTGTGTGGACAGCCTTTTTTCCTGGAAATTACCAGCTGTCTTTAGATGACTGGAGGGGCAATCTCTTTCCCTTAGATCACTTTCTAATGGAATTAGCATGCAGTGTTGCTTTGTTACAACCAGCCATACATAAATTTCATGCTGAGGATTTGCCGTGCATTGTTCCTTTTTCCTTCCTGTAATTGTCTGAGATTTGGTGGAGTGTATGACATCAATACTCCACCTTCCTAAATCCTCCCTGCTTTTTTGTCTGAGGGAGTTATGCAGTAATATCTCCAAATAAACATAAAAAGGAAGAGGAATTTGCTTGTTTCTGTTTAAAGACGTGGGGGTGGGAAGTAGTAAGGTCAAAATATGTCTTTCTTTCCCTTGAATGAACATTAGGATGACATTAGCTTTTCCTTTTTCTACCCACTCTTGGGGGGGGGGGAATGTCTGCTCTCTTTAGCATGAGGTGAGACATAGAATCTTAACATTTTAATCTAGGAAGGTTTTGGCATACTTAAACCACAGTTTCCTGGTTCAGATGTCATGGGAAGGGATGCTTTAAGAAACTAGTAAAAGCTTACAGAAGCTGGGCATGCAAGGAACAGAGAAAAGGTGAAGAATGAACACATAGGCACACAGCTTGTTTGATTATTACATTTAAATCAAGCCACAGATTTCTGGACTTACTCTTAGACATTTTCTGAAAGATTAATTTGTGCTTTCAGTTAGAAAGGAAAATACAGCAGCAAGAGCTTTTGTATATGTGGATCTTGCACGGTGCAATACACAGCACAAGTTACTGTATGTTTGAAACCGCTAAGGTTATATTTTTCAAGATTCAGTTCCCCCAAATAATCCCACAATAAGGTGTTTTCCTTTTGAATGGTGCATTGTTGGAACACCTATAGGAATGACAGTTATTCATGGAAAAGTTACTTCACTTTTGTCCCAACTCACCCACCCCTTGTTTCTGACTCCATGGAAAATACAAGAGGTAGTTGGGAGGATTTTCCTGAAGTTTAATATGAGGTTTAAAAATAACATGATATTCTTTAAATAGATTGGAAAATATATGGTGGGCTTTGTATGGAGCTTTGTATATAGATGTACAAGATTTCTGATATTTATAATAACATTGGAAAGGGGAAAACAGGAAATATAATATAGCAAAAGCAGTTCACTGCTTGAACGTATTTGTTTTACTTAGTCCCAGGCCCGGATATTCTCCTGTTTTATCTTTCTTTATTTTGTTAGGAGTTGCTGAAGCAAGATACCCATTCAAATGTTTCTTAAGGCATCCATACAATAGGGGTCTGCCATCAAGGTTTTATGGGTCACTGCTTTTCTTAATGTTTTTCCCTTTAGGCAAATGGAGCAGAACAGCAGCTGAAGACTATTTCTTTCACCAGGCATTGTTTATTACAAACCCTCATAGCTTTTTTTTTAAAGTTAAAGACAAGCTAATTTGTAGCAAATGTCTGTGAGGTTTTGTTCATCACGGAGAAGCCTGGCAAACTGATAAGAATGGTGTCCCTGGTTGTGAGGTCTTTTTTTCCCTTCTGTTGGCTGGAAGGACAGTGCATTCCCAAAGTGGAACCTTTCCAAGAGCAAGTTGATAAAATACAAAATGAATCATGTCTGTGCACCCTTCCTTTTCACCAGAAAGAGATGGATAGAAAAAAAAAACCCAAAGCTTTTTTGAGCAGGAGTTCCTTATTTGGAATAGCCTTGAATGCCCTCTTCTTAAACTCAGCTTCTTCCTGATAGTGCAAAGAAACTGAAAGGCTGGCTCTCCTAATCTTTAAGTAAGGTTCCTATTGCTCTTTTAGTTGGTGCTGATGCCTCACTGTATACATTACAAAGGATTTGATTTCCAATTTTCTTTGTCATGGCCTGAGAGACAACGGTAAGTGCCTATTTTAGATATATTGGGAAAATATCTGAGTTAAGTTGTATATCCCCATCTGACTTCTGAGCATGCCTTTTTACATCTCCTTCACTTTACTTCAAGAACAATTTGTACAAGTCATTGTTTAGTAAGGCAGCACAATCTTATTTACATAATTTTATATTTTTGTTGACTTAAATAAAGATTCAGTCAGGTAAGGTTCCCCTTGACATTTAGTCCAGTCGTGTCCAACTCTAGGGCGTGGTGCTCATCCCCGTCTTCAAGCTGTAGAGCCAGTGTATTTGCGAAGGCTTTCACGGCCAGGATCTAATGGACTGGAGTAGGAACTCTGTGCATGCTCTGTTGGTGTTTGTTGGATAGTTGAGTATTTATAGCTGTGGGAAACAGCTTTTGTCATTGCAAAAGGTCAAGGAACTCTACCCAGCCACAAGGGCCAGGGATCGTTGCACAAAAAAGACCAACTAACGACACCCATCAATCACAGTGACAGATAATCTCTCCCCTCCTTATCACAACAAAAACATGCTGATCACCCTATCTCCTGAAAAAAAAAAGTTGTTTCCCACAGCTATAAACACTCAACTATCCAAAAAACACCAACAGAGCATGGACAGAGTTCCTACTCCAGTCTTCTGAAGATGCCGACCACAGAGACTGACAAAACATCAGGAAGAACAAACTTCAGAACACGGCCAAAGAGCCCAAAAAACCCACAACAACCGTAGAGCCTGCGTTTGTCCATAGACCGTTTCTGTCGTCACGTGGCCAGCGCAACAAGACACGGAACAAGACACCTTCCCACCATGGTGGTACCTGTTTATCTACTCGCATTTTTACATGCTTTTGAACTGCTAGGTTGGCAGGAGCTGGGACAAGCGTGGATTCGATCTTATGACTGCTGGTCTTCTGACCTTGCAGCACAGAGGCTCCTGCGGTTTAACCTACAGTGCCACCACGAATCAGGTACCTATTTGTCAAATAAGCAGGGTGAAAATATTCTGTTTGACACTTTCTTGCTTTAAGAAAAAATATGAGGAATGGGCATTAGTAAGCTCCATGTAACAGGAAAACAGAACAGTAGTGGCTTCAGGAAAATGCAAGCAGTAGACCAAAGACAGAACAAAGAAGGAGCAGAGGATAAGCCTAAGGATGTTCACACTTGCAAAAAGCGCTGGACCATACCTGGTCTTGGAAGAGTGTTTGAAATTTTTGACTAGAAACTGCTAGCTATGCAGCAGGT